AAAAAAAAAAAAATGAAGAATGCAATTTTGGATACGTGCCACATTTTTCTCAAGAAATCTTCAAAAAAGGGCAGAGCTTCGGGGGCATAAAAATAGTTTAATCCGCTGAGTCTTTAGAAGAATGTTTCTAAGCTATGTATCAATGGTACCATAGATTTTAGAACAAAGAGAAAATAAACCAGACTATTTCCTCATTCAGATTTGTGGGAAACAGAGCAATTGCTAGAGTATTTTCCTGAGGCCTGGCAGGGGGGGAAAAAACAATCATTTTGTATTATACTTTGAATTAGATAGAATAGGTATCTTATCCAACTAGCTCATCTAGAAGTTATAAAAGGAGAAAAGATGGGAATAACTACCTCCTGGTAGTCCACAGTAAGTCTCATATTATTAGCAATCTAGATGACAGAGTCTATGTTAATCTAGTATAAATAATTCATTTGCATTCCCTGTAAAATACCATCATCATGTTATCTCATCTATAGTACTCTTCTTTCTTCTGGTATATATAAGATGGCTCAGAGCACAGTGAGTTGAGTGGTTTATAGAGTTCTCTAACATGCAGAAATATCCTTGGATGACAGATTTTGAGAAACATATATCTAAAGAAGGGCTAGTCAGGGGTATTTATATTGAGAGCAATAGCTTATATTCTTACATCCCAGAAGTTTGTATTTCAGGTGAATTATCAGATTCCAGTAGTATTACCAGTCAATCTAATGGGAAAGATGGGGTCAAAGGGAAGAAAATGAATTGAAGTGCCTTTTCCTCTTCCTAATAACTCTGCCTGTACTGTCATTGGATTAGGAAAAATGGCAAGGTAAGTAGAAGGCCACAGTTGCATAACCTCCCATCCCTATTTGAATGAATCATAACCTTCTTACATATCCCTAAAATGTAACAAAATGCAGGTAATACCACTATAAGATAACACAAATGATTGAGGGTAATTCATGAGTAGTTCAAACTACCTAATAAATATCAATTATTCAATTGACTATAAAACATATCAACTCATAAGTCTTTTTCAATCCGTTACAATTAAATAGTTATAGTGAGAGTCTGAAAGGACCTAAGATATACATGATAGATCACTGGGAAGAAGGAAATTTTATCATGTAAATTTGAGAACATAGAAATAAGCTAAATGACATTCTAAAGACAGAAGGGCAGACATATGAAGTTAATGAGGAAGTTAGAATATTTCTATTTGTCAATTACTTTCCAACCTAATTTCCAATCCAGATACTTCACAAAATACTTCACTTGTTTTATTATTTTTCTATTGTTGTCAGTATTACAGATGTCTTTTTGCCACCTTCCACCCAACCCCTGCCCTACCCTAGGCCTTCCCCACATTACTGTCTGTGTCCATGGGTTAGGAATATATGCATATATGATTTTGGTTAATCTCTTCCACTTTACTTGTTTTAAATG